TGCGACATAATGCAGTTTGCATAATTTTCTGAAGTTACTTTAGTTCACTTTTAAATTAAAAGATTTAATAATTAGCAACTATTTTGTTATGTTATGATATGTTATGTAAAATTGTGTCCTTCTATTTTAATAATAACAATGAAGTTTTACAGAAAACAGTTGTCAAAGTTACAGGATTTCGGCTCCTGTAACTTTTTTCTTTTGGATTTTTCAAATCCGGCTTCGGCTTTGGCTCCGGCCGAATTTGTCTGTAGAAATCTGGCAAATCCGGCTCCGGCCGGATTTTAAAAAACATTAAATCCGGTACAGCCCTAATTTAAACTGTTAAGAATATAATTTAAAAGGAAAAAAAATAAAGATGTCATTAATTTTTTACCCTATCCCATAACAAAATTTGTATAGTTTTTCTATAAAAATAATCAATTGTATTTTCTATAAGCTTTTGAAACAAATGACCTATAGAAACTGCGGCTTCTTTGGACTACCTAGTGTGATTCAATACATTATTCTACAGATTTTGTGGTTGGAATTCTAAAACCATTTTTTTCAAGAGCCTTTGGAAAATTGTGTTAATTTAAATATAAAAAATCTATTCAAATTTTGTATGTTTGTTATTGGAAGAAAAAATAGCAAAAATTACATAAATAAACTTTTTAAAAAAATGACTTTAAATATTAAAAATTAAAAGAATTAATCAGAAATTCATTATGTAAATTTTTATTACATAAATTCATTTAGACACAAAAAAATATTTAAACATAAAACTCTTTTGTTGCATTCTGCTTAGATTTTTATCTAATATGTTTTTATGTGCTTCGTTACCATAAACAATATGAGAAACCTTGGAAACAAGTTGTACATGATCTCTAAACACTTTCTAAATAAGAAGAAAAACCTTGATGGATTTTGTTACTGCTTCATCTGACAAAAATATTTGAGCTCATACTATATTCGAGTATCAATATTATTTCTAGAACTTTATTGATTCTGTTTATAGTTTCACCACTTTTTTTACAATTTTGAATCTCAAATAATCGCTGTATAAATTTTAAATGGAGAAATTTCTTTTGTCAGTTCATTGTGAGTTTGTCTAAAACTAGAGTTGATCAAACTTTATGATCAATAAGCAGTCCTGATAAATCAAGCGTAAGTGCATTTTTCATCCAATAGAACTTCCTATATTGTTTCTAATTAACTCAATAACAAACTTTAGTAATTATAAAAATTTCAAATTTCTGATGGATTTTTTTCAGGCTTCAGTGTCTGAAAGAAAATTTATAAAGTTAATATAAAAAGTTATATTTATTTATTTACTCATATATATATATATATATATATATATATATATATATATATATATATATATATATATATATATATATATATATATATATATATATATATATATATATATATACAATTAAATAAATAAATATATATATATATATATATATATATACATATATATATATATAATTAAATAAATATATATATATATATATATATATATATATATATATATATATATATATATATATATATATATACAGAGCCGCCAAGAGGGAGGGGCAATTGAAGTAGTTTGCCCCGGGCATCACAGTCTATGGGGCATCACATACGCCAAAAAATTATTGAAATGATAAAAAATATAAAGTTTAAGCAAACTTTGTGTAATAATTTCGTTCTCCTCATAAATTTTGTTTACATTTAAAGTATATTAATTATTACTTTACTAGGTTTTCATTTTCTTTCTGAACAAACGCGTTTCTATTCATAGATATATAAGTTATATAATTTATACATAATATATATAAAAGGAATATAATTTATATATCTATGTTTTTATTGGCCTTTTGTTTGCGTAATAAAGTAAAGATTTTTTTCTTATTAGTTCTTTTAGAGATGAAATAAAACTGAAGATGAAACAAAGTGATGGAAAGCAATTTTATAATGCATTCTTGGTGTCACAATTTTCCTGGCATTAAGAAATTTAGCGTTTAGGAGTAAGAGAATTGTTATTAAATTTTAAGTTATACTTTGCATTATTTTATTTACATTTTAAAAATTAAAATAATAAGTTATAATTCTATATAACTACGGATTATTATTTTTGATAACTTTTGGTTTGCAATTAGGATCCAATCAAAAAGTGTTCAAATATGGGAATGGAAAGTTCTTGAAGCTTATTGCTGAGAACCAAAATGAAGAAAAGCGTATGCAAGCCTATTCCTTATCCTGAAAGTTACAGAATGAATTTATTGGGTATAATGGTTTAAATCCATATATTTGACCATCATCACGGACAGCACTCGCGATGCGACCCACAGCGGTTAAATTTCTTTCATTTTTTATTTTTTGCATTTCATGAAATGCAGAAAATGAAAAATAAAAGAAATTAAAAATGAAAGAAATTAATGAAAAATGAAAAAATTTAATGAAAAATGAAAGAAATTAAAAATGAAAAAAAAATTTATCATCCCTTCAGGGATAATCATCTGTTAAAGGTCAAAAAAAGGTTTCTTAAACTAGAATTACTTGAGAAGAAAAAAAGATCTGATTTAACAAATTTGATATAAATGAGTTAGAAGAGATTGAGTTCGACACAAAAAATTGTTGTGGTCAAGGCTACGACAATAGCGCTAATATAGCAGCTATTTACAATAGAGTTAAAGCTTGGATTAGGCAGAATAATCAACAAATAATTTTCATTCCTTGCTCTACTCACTGTTGCAGTGTCGCACTGTCACTGTCACTCAGTGTTGCACTGTCACTATTGCAGTACAAGCTATTGAATCATCGGTTTCTGCAAAATCCTATTTTGAAAAAATTCACAAGCTATTCAAGCTGTTCAGCTGCAGCCCGGTTTGTAGAAAAATTCTTCAGTAGGAAACAGGCCAATCATTAAACAAACTTTCTGTTATACAATGGAGCTTAAGGGTTGAAACAGTCGAGCCGCTAGCATAAAAGCAAAAAAGATCTTGAAATTATTACATCGTCCAAAAGATTAAACTTTCTAATTAAAAGTAGTAATGAAGTGAATTGTCTATTTAAATAGAAAAATTCTTTTAAATTTTTTGCTTTCACTACTTCCTGGTTCACATGTTTGATGGTAGTTAAAAATATCTTTAGCTTCAATCCACTTAACTCACTCTAGATGATGAAGTAAATATTTTTATTTGGCCATTGACAGATCTGGATTGAAACCGTTTATCTTGGAACCAAATTATACCTGATAAAGGCAAAAGAAGTAGCAAAGGTATTGAAATTTGACGAAATTATAATTGCTGTGAAGAGAACGCAAAAAAATACTGTCTTCCCTGATGAAACTGCTAGTTACAACCACGAAAAAGCATCAAAAAACTTTGGGTGTAATGTCTTCAATGTTGCACTCGACAATCTGACTGTTCAAATGAGATCAAGATTTAAAGTTATATAAGAGAAATTTAACAAGTTTTTATTCCTTTAATCTTTACTGAAATCTCAAACAGACAAAAATCTAGGTTTAAAAGCTGAGAATCTGGCAAAACTTTACCCAGAAGACGTATGTAAATACGAATTTTCTGATAAAGTTTTTTATTTTTATTTTTCGTAAGTAGAAAAAAAATTTCATCAGTGTTGTGCTACTTGATCATTTCAATTGAATCAGATTTAGCCAATAACTTTTCTTATGAAGTTGTTATTTTTGCCGCTACGTAGGCCAAGAAGCTCGATATTAAGACTAGTACCATAGTTTGTTTTTAAAAACCAAAACTAATTAAATGTGATTTTAGGTTTTCTGTGAAAGTAAACCAAAAAAGCTATACTAATTTACTTGGTATTTTTCATTTTAAGTTCTAAAGTTTAATACGGCATCCATTAAACTTTTGGACCCGGGCATCACAAAAGCTCTGGGCAGGCCTATATATATATATATATATATATATATATATATATATATATATATATATATATATATATATATATATATATATATATATATATATATATATATATATATAAATATATATATATATATATATGAGTTTGAGTTTTATATATTCAGTAATCAAATTTATACATTTAAACCGCAATAATGCCGTAAAAATAATTAAAAATATATGCATATACATATGTATATATTTAAATGTTAAATTATTAATTTGATGAAGAGACTTTTTCAGGAGTCTCTATGCTGATTTAACATTTTATCGAAATCCAATCTTTAAATGCATTTAAAGATGGAGCGTTTACCACGTGCTGTGTGAGAGAGTTCCGCGTGCTGTGTGAGAGAGTTCTAATGGACCGCAACTCGGTTTGTAAAAAAGTTTGATCTTTCCTTAAATCCTCCTACGAATTGACGATCAAGCTGCTTGTCATGGCTGCGTAGGTTGTACACCTCAGTTGTACACCTTTATTTTAAGCCAATACAATTATTGCAAGAGAGTGTTAAATGAATGTCTGTTATATAATTGAAATAAAAAATGTTTTAAACAAAAATCCAATATCAAATTTTGCATAAAATCCTACTAAAGAAGTAATAAGTAAATAAGTATATAAAAATGTTTCAACATTTTTTAGTTGTCTCAGCATGAGTAATGCATAGGCAGTAAGTTCACAAGTAAATAACAATTTTTTTAAATTCTGACATAAGTATAATTTTTGATTTATCAGCGTATAGCATTTTTTTGTGGACGATACTATCAGGAAGATTGTTTATAAACAAAATAAAAAGCAGTGGCTCCAAAACAGAACTTTGCGGAACTCCACTTGTGACGTTCTTCTACTCAGAAACGTATTCTCCCAAGACAACACGTTGCTTACGATCTTTTAGCCACATTTTAATCCAAAGTAGCTACTTTTTGTAAACGCTGTATGCTTTTAGTTTATGTAGAAGACGTTTGTGAGGGACTTTATCGAATGCCTTAGCAAAATCTGTGTAGATAATATCAGCACTGTAACCTTGATGCAAAGCCTCGATAAGTATGTTGCAAGCTTTGAGAAGGTCATTCTGACATCCCTTTCTACGAATAAAACCATGCTGATGCTTGGAGATTAGATTGTTTTCCACACAGTGCGCCAGAATATGTTTGTGAATTATTTTTTCCATTACTTTGCACGGTATTGAGGGAAACCGGTCGATAATTGTAGGCCTTAAGCTTGCTCCCTATCTTTAAGATGGGAGTAATGTTTGATTTTTTCCAATATTCAGGTACAGAACCAGAAAATAAAGATTGTCTAAAAATAGAGTTAACTGGTATTGCAAATGCTGTTGCACAGTAACGTAATACACGTGGGTGGATTCCATCTACACCAATTAATTTAGTCTCTTCAAGATTGCTTAGATGATTTTGAACGTCTTCAATTGTGAACCAATTTTCATTAGTTTTACATGTCGCTTGAGTACGATCGGGAAATGTTGGCATACTGCCATCAAGTTCAGTTTCAAAGACAGACTGAAAAAAGTTATTGAGGGTGGAGCAAATTATGTTTTTATCTGATGTAATAATGCCATTGTCAGTTTCGATTGAACAAAGAGGATCTTTGACTTCTTGTTTACTTCTGACATACGCATGTACATTTTTTGGGTGAAATTTTGCATCTTTGACCAGCTTCTCCTCATGATCGGTTACTGCCTTATTTATAGTCTTCTTAACTATTTTGCAAGCAAGTTTATGTTTCGAAGTGCTTTGTGTGTTTCGCAATCAGCAGCAATATACTTACCCCATAGCTTTTCTTTTTTTTTTGATAGTTTAAAGTACTTCTTGCGTAATCCACAACGGTTGATTTTTATAGAACTCTGAATTTGTTGTTGGAATAAATTTATTGACTGCGTTGTTGTAGTTTTTAACAAGAATCTTGTAATTTTCATGCACAGAGCTTCCATTAAAAGTTGTTATCCAATCTATAGATGATATGCATGTTGATATGGAATTGTAGTCTGCTTTCCCCCAGATGAATCGTTTTTTCATCGGAGTAGTTGTTGTATTGTGCCCGGTTAAAGCAAAGAGTCCGTGTATCATGCAATGTGCTTGACCTCCTGGTGTATCGCCTAGATGATCTGCTCTAGTGATTTCTATGGAGCGGTCTGATTTGTCAGAGATTATTAGGTCGAGCGTGCTACTAAAATGGGCATCCCTATACTGTCGATATGCTGGAAATGTAACCAGTTGAGTAAGATGGCACTCATTGAGACATTCTTGGAATTTTAGATCGGTTGGGTGCTTGTGGGCTACATAAGCAATGGTTGCTACAGTACTTCCTTCTTCAATGGATTTGGAAGACGTTTCTTTAAGATTGAAATCTCCATACAAAAACATTGATGAACACCCTAGTTTTTAACAAACATTTTTTGCTGCTAATATGGTAGCTAAAACAGAAACAAAGTAGTCATCATTGAAGTCGTGAGGGCAATAAATACAACCGATAAGAATGACATCTTTCCCGATTTTGATCACACGCCATATTTGTTCAATTTCAGGCGAGTTAAGTTGGACAACATTTGTTTTTTCAGCAATGACACTATCTTTAACGTAGATGGCAACGCCGTCTCCTCTGCCGATTCTGTCCTTACGATGTAATTGATAACCGGCGGTTAATTAAACCATATGACGTGCGGTAACAGAGATGGATCTCTGGCAATAGCTAGCCTGGCAACAAGTTCATTATGTTTATCTTTATTAAGTGAGTATGGATTATTGGCCCAGTAATAAAGTATATCAGAAAAATCGATAGTTGCTGAATCTCTAAGCAAAGCTTTATTATGTTGTTGGCTGTATTGTGATCACAAAGTTCAATTAGGTTTTGATCTTTTAGGTTTTAATGCTTTAGTTTTTATCAATTTTCTGTCTGGCATAATTTTTTCTTCAGAATTTAGTTCATTGGAGGATAATTTTTGTTGATTTGGTATTGAGGATGGTATGATTTGGGTTAACGTAATATTACCAGGTACCTCATTAGAGGAGCAACTTGATAAATGTATTCTTGAGTTGTTTTTTATTGTATTAGTTTTAATTGTAGGATTTATTGGCGTGTACAGAAACCGGGTGGTGATGAATTGCTATTGGACAATTTTAATTTTCTTAACCTCAGTACCTTTGATACCAAAGTAGTGAGTACCAGTAAGTTTGTTGTTTTCTCGCGGTATTTCTTTGTTTAGATTGTTTCTTTTCGTAAGTAGCTCTTTCCTTAAACTGCGCTCTGCACTTGTTAAAGTCTTTGCTTTTAGCTAAGTTCTTGGCGAATTTTAAAATTTCTTTTCTTATTAAATTTTAATTTGCAATTTCGACAATTAAAGGTGCAGGTTTTAGGGTACTGACAGATGTTTCAATAGTTTCATCTTCTTCGTCCATGTTTGTTACGTTTTCCTTTTTTTTTACATGATGGTGATGTTGTTTCGATCTTATTCGATAAGTTTTTGATACATTAATATTTGGCGGTAGCTGCAATTAACTTAAAGGATTGCAAACGAGATCGTAATCATCATTTTTTTTGTGTTCTTCTTCTGGTTTAATTGATTCTTTTAATCCATATAAAACTATGTTATTTGCTTTACGATCATTTTCTGATTGAAATTTTGAAACTGCCATTTGATTTAACTATGTTGCTGAAAAGCGGAATCACAACATTTATCTGGCTTCTTTGTTTCTATTGCTTTAATTCTTTCGCTTAGATCAATTATTTGTTTTTCTAGTTTATCAAAAACCGCCTTGAAAGCCTTGAACATAGATTTGATTACTACTGCAAATTGCTCTTGTTTTAAGAGTTGTTTTAGGGTCAGGCAGTGGAATTTCTGCCTTAGCACACAATTTGGACATTAATTCGCCAAAATTGTCAAGATCCAACAAATTGGGCAACATTGCAGCAGTTGCCATTGGTCGGTCCAAGCTGATATTGATTGATGATGGGAGGGCTACCACACTAAATAAAGTGAAATATTTATTGTATATATATATCTTATTACACAGGGACTAAAAAGTTTAAGTATGTGTTTTTTTTCCGTTATTGACCAAAAACTTGAAAATTACAACATAAGCAACACAAATGATTTAAAAGATGCAATTCAAGACAATTGGGACAAGACTTCAATTGATCTTTGCATTATATTAGTAAATTCTGTTCCAGATCGTATTTCTTGAATTTTTAGAGCTTATTACACAGGGACTTATTAACACAAGTAGAACTGAATATATATATATATATATATATATATATATATATATATATATATATATATATATATATATATATATATATATATATATATATATATATGTATATATATATATATATATATTTATATATATGTATATATATATATATATATATATATATATATATATATATATATATATATATATATATATATATAATATCGCTAATAATATATATATATAATATATATATATCGTTGCTCTTGTCACATTATTTTTCACAAACTAAATATTACAAGAAGTTGTTACATCAAGGTTATTTACAACTACTAATAAGTTGTTATATGAAGTAAACAATGAAGTAAATTTAATATAAAAAAAATGATGATAATAATAATCATTATACAAATAGGAGAAAATAAAAATAGTAGTTTTAATAACAGCGATTAAAAGTAATAGTAAAGATTATAAAAAATAAATACTATACTATATTAATGATAACAACAATAAAAATAAAAATAACAATAATAATAACAGCAATAACAACAACAGTAATATAAAAAAATTATAACAATATAAACAACCGTAAGAATAATAATATTTATAATTATAAAATAATAACAATAACAATAATAGTATTATTGTTATTATTATTATTACTTTTATCGGCACACGTGTATTTCAGGCATCCCCCTTAAGTAAGTCCGTAAAAAACAAGTCACGTTTTACGTATAACATTTATTAAAAATTATACTCTAACCCTGAACCCAAAAATAAAATTTATTTAGTTGAAAACCATATCCAAACCAAAACAGGAGCCTAATCTTAAGGTTCAGGGTTAAGGTTTGGTTAGAATATGGTTTTCAACATTACTCGTTTTTTATAAGACTTTTTTACGGACTTACTAAAGCCTGAAATACACGTCCGTCCATTTATCATTATATAATATTATTCTTACTGTTGTTAATATTGTTATAATTTTTTTTTATAGCACCGTTTTTTTTTTTTTTTATCTCTATTATTAATAGTAATAAAGAGAAAATAGTGTAGTTTAAGAAAGATTAAAATAATAAATTTAACAAAACACAACAGAAAAGAGAAAAAAAATTAGATAAATTGAAGCTCAGAGTTAGATTTATAAATAATAAGTCGAAGAAAAGTATAAGATTTAAAACAATATTTTTCTAAAAAATAGTTAAAGAGAGCAGTTTTAAATTTTGAAAATGAGTTACATTTTTTTCATGACAAATTCAGTAAAAAAAATACTTACAATGAAGTTGCTAATTATAACTTATTAAAATTTGTGCCTATAATTAAAATGAATGAATCTGTAATAAAATTTTAATTCAAGGTAAGTACTTTGAAAAGTTTCTTCAACAAAAATTTCTGTAGGTCGCTCTTCTGGAACATTTATCGACTGAAAACGTTTTGGCTGTAAAAATTTATCGCCGGTAATTTTTAAAAATATTCTATAACATTGAAAAAAATTATTAACGCTGGTAAATTTTACCACCGGTAGCATTTTACGCCGATAAAAAGTTTTATAACATCGACCCCTGATCTTCAAATTCTAGTGCTCAAAGAACTTGAGTCAATATTCATTGAAATCTTATTCCCATCTGAAAAAATTATCATAGTAGGACGTATTTACCGCCATCTTTGTATGTGCACAGATGAGTTTTACGATCACTTCATTCAAACTATACATAACAAGTTGTCTTTAGAAAATAATAGTGCAGTGATTTTAGGAGACTTTAACATTAATCTTTTGAACTCCTGTAATAATGTATCTAAATTTCTCGATTCCATGGGCTTATTTCCTCTATTCCCATTTATTATCCAACCAACTAGAAATACACCTCAATCCAAGACACTAATATAAAATATATTTTTAAACTTTTACGAACCTAGTTTTATTTCTTATAATCTTACAGTGTCTCTTCCTGACCATCTTATGCAGTTTTTACCTTTGCCGAGCAAAAAGTTGAAACAACCTCAACGAAAATATATTGTCAATGTTTTAAACACTTTAAAAATAATTTATTTCTTAAAGACCTAAAAAATGCTGAATGGCTATCAATAACGTATCAAAAAACTTATAACATCAATAGTTCATCATCAAATTTTAAATCAATACATATTAAAAATAAACTTCACAATAAGGTTATTTAACATAAAAATGAGAAATTAAAGAAAAAATACTTTCAAAAATTTAAATTTCATCAGATCCAAATAAGCAACTTAAACTTTCATCAGATCCAAATAAGCAACTTAAACTTTCATCAGATCCAAATAAACAGCTTAAACTTTCATCAGATCCAAATAAGCAACTTGTTTAGAAATTAAAAAAATCAAAATAATTTAATAAAAAAAGTTTAAAAACCTTAAACACATTTGAAAAAGGAATAAAAAAAAATGTTGTGATAAAGCCAAACAACAACAACATTATTGAAAGTTTAACTATAAATAATCAAACTATAACTATTCCCAGCTAGCACATATACGTTGTTAAAACATTAGAATAATGTCGCGCGTTACGTTGGCTTAACATCGGTTGCCAACGTTATTTATATATCATTATGGTTACAAATGCAACGTCGCCAATAACTAAAAACAAATGTTGATAAAACGTTAATTTAAATTCGGAAAATGGTTATATTTTCTACGTTGATTCAACATTTTATTTTATACGTTGGCCCAACATTGTATTTACGCGGATTCAACGTCGAACTTTAATTGGTAAAAAGCTGAATTGGATCAACGTTGGGTTTAGTTCGTTAAAACAACCAACATTTTGCAATTTATTTACATACATTGGATAAATTTTAATTCATATACATTGAGTCAACGTTGAAGTATATACATTGGATCAACGTTGGGTTTAGATCGTAAAAACAGTCAACTTTTTGCGATGCTTTTACATACATTGGACCAATGTAAATTTGTCAGATGTTTTTAGTTCCGTCGGTAATAATTTTATCAATTACCAAATGACATTGGATCAACGTTGGTTTTGCATTGAAAAAAAGAGCCACCATTTGTGATGGTTTTACATACGTTGGCCTAATGTAAGTGTGCTAGCTAGGTTAAGGTTCTAACAACAAACTCGTTTAATGATTTTTTTTGCACAATTGCAGAAAAGTTTTCCAAAACCATCTCTCCTAGAC